AAATCGCCCCAGTACTTTTGAAATGATTCAAATAAGTACAGAATTTTCCGCTTTATAATATTAGTAATGAAAAGAAAGTTTAAGCTAGTCAAATTTATGTTAGAAAAAGTGAAAAACTCAGCTAACGCCCAGGCAGTGCGTTCATGCACTGCTTTTAAGCTAGCCTGTATAGAAACATATTTGCATTTAAAGTGACTTTACCTAGAAAAATATAAACTCAAATACAGAATAAAGATTAAAAATGTACATCGTTTACAACTGAAAAAAAATTAACTGTGCCCGAAATATCGGGATCAAAAACAACCTAATCGTGGTAAGAAATGTTACGAATATTCATGATCGTCATCTCCCCTGCCTTATCCTACTTCCGTAGGGTCGGCGCACCGGGTTTTCGTCCTCCAAAGCACTCTATCATCCGTCATCTCAGTCATCACTCCTTTCTTGATCATGTCACCTTTCACGCAATCCGTCCATATCTACCGGTGTAAATCTTACGAATATTATATTTGTAAAAACTAGGACAGTATAGTAATATGTTTTGTTAACTTGTAGGAGGAGCTAATGCGTCTAATGGAGGCGGAGCTGGGGGAGGGCGCGGGCGAGGGCGGGGCGGGGCGCGCGCCGCTGCCGCTGCCCGACGCCGCCGCGCTCGACTGGGCCACGCTGGTGCACACCGCCACCAGGGCCATGCTGCAGGTATGCTACCTTCGTAACATACATAAACATGGTATTAACACTGTCTCTACGATACAATTGTGACGTTTGAAAATTATAATCATCAATCTGCCTTTGTCCCTGCGAATGATCGGCATAGTTCGATACATTTCTATTAACCGCATATCTGAATTTACCCCCTTCTTAAGCATATCCTACTTAGAATCCATACATACTTCTGTTTCACTGGGTGGCCTGTAAGATATTACTTATAGGAAAAAGGCCGCCATTGTGCAAATTTTGTATTACCATAGTTTAAATGTATGTATACTATTTGTTTTGCAAAAAGAATAATAAATAAATTAATAATATTCTCTTATAAGGTGCAAAGCTATTTTTCTGATACGGTATAGCAGACTACATGATCCAAGTTTTGTTTAGTATATTCATATATTTCCAGATTTGCGAAGAACACCAGTACCCGACAATGGATAATTTAGAATCATTGGACAATCCCACAAGTGAGCCCTCACAGGACTCTTGGCCGGAGCCACCGGTCAGTATTTAAATGCTTTATAATTAAGGGACTTGCCTATTTTTTGCATGGGAGGTGGTTTTGTAAACTAACAGAACGCGTACCAAGTTTATTAGTAGATAAAATTGTAAAGATAATCAAAACATAAAAAAAAAACAATTTTAGACACTGCCATTTATTTTTAATTCATAACTAAAGTTATTTAATGCTGATATCATTGTTTACTTGTGGGGAACACTGAAGACCTGTTTTCATTGTCGTACGTTTTGCTGCTGTATTCTTCAATCGGATGTTGGCATCTCTGTTCACCCTATTTGGATCGTAAAACATGTTTGTCTTAATTGCAGATATCAGAGACTTCAATATCAACAGTGATGTCGAACAGTCCGAACGTGTCAGTGGGCGGGGCGAGTGTTGTGGGCGGGGCCAGTGCAGTGGGCGGGGCCAGCGCGACATGCGGCTGCGGGCTGGCGGCTAGAGTCGCCACACTGGAGGCGGACGCTGTGACCGCGCAGCGACAGAACAACCAGCTGGAGGAAGAGGTTAGCGCAAAATAAACTTTATTTTGTACGGTATAAGGTTCTATTTCAATTGACGTTTGCCCTGGATGCGGGCTGCAAAGTACCTGGAATTATTGCAATATTGGTAAGAGTTTTGAGCTGTAGGTGATTTATGTATAATTTATAGTAAGTTTGTTAGTCGGATAGCAAATAGTTTAGTAATTAAAATGTATATGAACAATATATAGTCGAGTAAATTAGTAAATTCTAGACTAGCTAATAAATTTTCGATACCTCACTAAATTTCTAGCCAACAAACTAAACATTCAAGTTTTAGTAGCTGTAATAGAAGAGTTTTGTTAAAGAATTCGCGATCATTACTATATTAAAGTGTACTTTTACTTTAAGTAACCTCACTTATACAGCATTTTACTAAATATTTGATTATTATTTTCAGGTGCGCCGTTTGAGACGTCACAACGCTCGGCTGAGAGAAGAATCTGCTCGAGCGGTGTGGCAACTGAGACACTTCACACAGTGGCTTAAAAGAACCGTCGACAGACAGTAGACATTAAATTTAACATTTCACCATTCTCCAAAACTACATTTGGAACTAAAGTTAAAGGGTCACTTTGACGTATCTAACGACGAAAATATGAGGTCTTCAAAGCCCCAAACTTCTGAGTTAGCAAGTACCGTTTTCATGTATTTAACGAATTGATTCTATAAACAATTCTGGCCTAGTAATATAATACGAAATACAAGATAAAATTATGTGCTAATTGTCAATTTATCCACTCAAATAATGGTAGTGATCGAAATTTTATGAAATAAGTGTTTGAAATGTTTAATACCAAGTACTGGCCTAAGATTATCTCAATATCGTAGGATGCTTTCAACGATTACGTAAACGATTCATTTTATCGTTAGTACAACGAGTTATTTATAAAACATTTGCTATATAAAATATATGCATTCATTAAACAACGATGTAACTTGAAGTATCGATTTTCAATAACTTAAATACTTCGGAATAAATATAGTTTGTACGAAATATTCAATATAATGAGGACATCAGATGTTAAACCACTGTAAAGAACACTGTGTTTTTAAATATATTTATAGAAAACAGTAACTTGGCTATTTTGGCTGATTTTTACTAAAATATCTAGTACAAACTAAATGAATTTCAAAAGTATTTGCGTGATCGATTTCATAGCGATATGCGCTGTTTCTTATGAATTTTGTGCCTTTGTGCTTGTTTGGCGAACATGGCGGCCGTGTTCTGTTGTTGTACATTATTGAACGTTGCTGTTACCTGCTGTTAACGTACAATTCCACTGATGTAACTTGTATCTGTCTGAAAATGAATTGACACAAGTGTTGTAGTGGAATTATACGGTAACGTACGTTGTTACATCACGTGTTGGACGATATTTATACCCTGTTTCAAATTAAGATGTAATGGAATTTAATCATCTCTAAATTTAAAGGATTTAAGCAACTTAGTAGCCCCTAGTATTTTATTATTGCCAATATTTCATTGTCACCTAAGTTCTAAATTTTTGTGTCAGGCGCCACTCGTAAAATATTTCAGGGGCTGAGTTAAGCCGAATAGTTACAATTCTAGTAATCAATTCTTTTTTGTATTTTTCTTTATTTTCATAAAAAATTGTGACATTTTATAAGAATTACGAATCATATTTTATATGGCAATGGAAATATTACTATAATAGTTTTGTTAAGTATTCTTGCAAAACTATAAAGCATATGCTTTTCGTTTATAAAATGTAAGTCTTTATTTGAAACAGGGATATAAAATGAATACCGTTAGATTTTATGGAAGTCGTATTTTATAATCACTTAACTAATTTATTCATGTAGTTATCCAAAAATAATTAAACAATAACTTAGTGTTTAAGAATTTAAGAACACCAATTGATGTTGTGTAGATTTTACGCGAAGCGATTTTGTGAATTTATCACAAGTCAATTTATATTTTAATTTAGTAACTATGTAATAAGCTGTTTCAAATTTAGATCTAAATAATGTGAACAAACGTTACAAGTGGTGTTTTATTTTTTTTAGTAAATATGCGATCTAGGTATTTACTAATTTCAACGTAAGACGTGTTTAGGCCTTGATTTGAAATATAGACGTTTTCATTCGTCTAAAGACTCGAGTTGTGTGCAGTATGAATTTAAATAGCCTAATTTAAAATTAATCTAAGATTAGAATGTAATTTGTTATTTGTAAACAGACTTGAACCTGCCAAATATTAGTACAGTATGAGTGTTTCGTTAGCACAAAGCTGCTTTTAGACAATCATTAAGCAAACTGGTACATCATTTATATGAACTACACACAAAAATCGGTATTCCAACTGAGGAGGTAAAATTACTGTTATACTTTTTTTTAATATAGTCCAATAAGGATATCTGACCCGGTGGGAAGTCAAACTGACCGCTCACTAAGACAAAAAAGCGCCAAAAATCACTGTTGTACTGGAACTGTCTTATAATTTTTTTCTATTATGTTATTTTAGTCTGCGTTTTATACATTTAGCAGATAGCAGAACCTTTCTCACTGGCCAGATATATTTGTTAGACTATAAAAACATTCTTGTATAATTAAAAATATGTTCTTCAATTATTGATAACATCTTAGGAGAAACTGTGAGTATGTCAGTGTTAAATGACATTAGCATCAAAATATTTCACATCTGGTCCCTTAAAAATTAAAGACAAAAGGAAGAAATCCATTGCAAGTTTTTATATGAACTACTTATGAATTTGAAAATTTTCAAACTATAAAAACTATTGAATGAATAGATTTGAAGTTAGAATATTTTTAAATTAACCTAAAAACGTTACTTCTGACTTTGTAATGCAGGTTTGTACAGACCATTATTTTATAAGATTAGAATATCAAGATGAAATGAAAGCTTTATTAGTTTAAGTTTTTTTTTATTTCTTATACTTAAAATATGTTTGTGACTGTATCTAAGACTTATGTTTAAAGGTTGTTACGTTTTTAGGCAGCATTTTTTATTGTATTAACCATAGATTGAAAATCCAGTTTAGCTTGCTTTGACATCTCAGTGGTTTTATCGATAATAAAATTCGATGTTTTCTTCAAAATGTATTATAACATTTTATTTCATACGTATTGTCACGTTTATTCTGATACGGAAAGTTAAAAAACAAATAATGTTACTTTTTCTGCATGTAAGATTTTTTAAATGAAAAAATTAAGAATGTATTGAGAAATACATTATTCTCTTTTTTATAACCTAGATGTTCCTTGACTGAACAAATTATTAATTAAAAACGATATACATAAAAGCTTTCTTAATCATTTTTGTTACATTATATTTCAGAGCTTACATGTCAATTGTTTTTGATGTCTTTTAGACAATGTATAAATAAAAGCTAAAAAATATTGTTTGGTGTAGAAATTGTACTGTATTTAAACATTTTTAATGTATTATTGACGAGGTATGTTTGCTGTTAAATATACGAAAAATGCTTTTTCATAACAAAAGTGATACTTAAATTTTTTTGGTATGAAATAGGTGCTGTTTTTGATGTATTTATGCCATTAGACCACTCTGTAATCGTACTATATTATTACTGCTATATTTATATATTTGTATGTTATCAATTTATATATGTTGTTGCGACTGATTCTGTATACGCATGATTAATGTCTGAATTGCTTCGTATCAATTAAAAAGCACTTCCCACCATTTGATAATTATAGGTATTTGTATTGAAATAGGCGTTGTTTATGCTCCGCGTATGTACAATTTTGTATCGAGAGCCAAAGCGTTTTTGTTAACCGCCATAAATAATTTTGGACGACTTTTTCCCCACTCGCAACGTTTTGCAGATTTTAGTTATACTCGATCTGCGCGTCACTTCTCTATGTAGCTCTAAGTAACATTCCAATAAATAAAATATATACCAACGAAATGTGTTTTTATTAAATTCGCATTATGGATATCACACAACATACCATAAATAAATTAATTACTTTAATAAACCCAACTACCAATGTAAGAGTGAGCATTATTTATTGACCTCTATAAATAGACAGGCTATGCATTTGTGGCCATCTGGTTTTCGCCATTTTTTTCGGCGATATTGAGACGTAAATATCAATTAATCGTAAGTCATATCAAAAGGGGAGTTTAAGACAGACAACGAAGCAAAAGTAATCATTACCTAATCGCCTATCTATTTATTTCCATATCTATGTAATTATCTGCATTCTGAATTCCTACTAAATCCTACCAATACTTGTCAATGTCATTGATGTGTCACATTAGAAATCAAAACAAAGTACTTGTTTTCATATTGATAGTTTTTGAGATAAAGGAAATATTTTGTAAATTATTTATTAGTGTAAAAGTTGTTAAGTTATAAAAATGTGCGATGTTCATTTTAACTAGATTCAATAAAATATTTCTGATTGTGGCTTCGGTTTAAATATGCCTGGTGATGTTTTTAAATGTGTAAATTGTATAAAAATGGATTATAGCGTGGAAGAAGGACTTATGCCGAGGGAAGTTGTAGAGTTTGATTTCGCTGAAGATGCCTTGGACTACGAGGTAAGAACCATTGAGATAAGAAAATAAAAATATTATTTAGTAGTCAATGCCAATAGTTCTTCAATTTTTGGATGGTGTAAACATCATTTGCTTTTATTAAAGAATAATAAGTTAATCCATCCCCGACAATTATAGCATGATAATTAAAATTTACTCAAAGGTAGGAAAGAGAAAGTGAATTTATCATTAGATGTTATGTGTGGGAAGGGAAATATACTTTTTCTGTTCTGCCTGGGCAAATGCTGTTCTTGGATATTGCTCATCCTTATATTAATTATCTAAATTTTCTTGACTTTCATTCAAAATTTTCTTAAAACATGAGTTTACTTGCAAAAATATTCAATTAAACAGGTTGTAATATCAATTGTGGCAGTGAGAGATTGACAGAGAGAGAAAGAAAAAGAAAACCACAATGTATCTTTATGAGAAGAAAAACCTGGTTTGCTTTCCATGTTAAGTACCAAATGTGTTTCAAATAAAATTGAGTGGTCGTTTGTTTGCAGACCAATACAGTCAATGCTTAGAAGGTCATTGGCCTTTCTCCTTTGGCCCTTCGTTGTTTTTTCGGCCTCACAAGGTCACGCATTTTGGCAGTTTTAAGTTTTTTTACAAATTATCGGCTAAAATGTCGCTACGCAACTTTTTATGACCAATAATGATGAAAAGTTACTTAACAAAAAAAAACACTGTTCAATAGTGTTTGAGTTTTTATGTTACATTACATTACGTAAAGGTTATCTAAATATGTTTAATGTCAATTTGCCAGAAATAACATAAGTATTGAGAGTACTCTTAAACTTGCTACCAATGTTACAAATACGATTGGACTGTCTTCGCTTGCGTTTATACTGCGATTCGTAAGTTTCGATTATCGTTTCCGGTGACTATCCTTGGCCTTCGATATCAATTGACTTGGCTATTGGAATTCTATCGTGTGTTTTTCAATAAACTGTGTCTCGACAAAAAATGCATAAACATGATTAAGCAAAAATCGATCGTATCACTTCAACGTTGTTTAATTCCGAGAAGTTCTTCTCGTTGATCAATTAATTTCACTCTATACAAGGATTAGGATTAGTTGGGATTAAAGATTAATATCGATCGATTTTTCAACAGGTTTAAAACCATCGATAGATTCTACTATCAGTGCTAGTCAAAGGTAAGATAGCTATGTCTGAGAATCTGTCGACACGTATGTTATGTGTACTATGGGTACTTATTTCAACTCTAAATAAAAACGCTAAAATCGTACTCACAACACGGATTTATCACATACCTAAGTAATTCTTTACTAAAACTTACTGAAAACAATTGTTAAGACTGGTTACCACATTTAGTTAATAGTCGTATCCTTTTACACAATTTTTCCTCATAAACGATTTTCTAACAGTAGTTTGTACTGAAATGTAAACAGTTGATAACAATTCTTGAGAAAGAGAGTTGCGATATATTTGTCGCACCGAACGATGTACTAAGAATTGGCAATGGGATCATAACAACGCGGTCTCTCGTGGGTAACAGACGTGACCCACAAATCGGTCAATAGCTGTTTATTTTCGTGTATCATTCGTTACGTGAATATTGTAAAGTTTTGTGTAAACATGGTGTGCGGTGGCCGGTGTGGTTGCGGTGCGTTTTGTCGACGTATATTTTGTCGGTCTCGTTCTCGAAGTGGTAGTGTTAATGGAGATTCATCACCTGTTACCTTGGTAATGCAAAATGAATTGTGTAAATGCACTATACTTGTTACACTCTAACACTTTTTGGGACTTCGGTAATGTACGTACTATTTACTTCGTATGAAAAAGTAAAGATTTTGAACATAAACTTATGATTTTTTTTATTTGAAGGTAGTTACAAAAAAGTGTTGATAATGTTATGTTTTTTAACATAAATAGTTTAAAAAGATACTAACATCATTGACAAATAATCACCGTGAATAATGAAAATATTCTATATTAGTATGCTTTGTTAGGCTCAAACATATCGAGGATAACGTTTAAGGTAAATATTATTTAGTATTTCCACCTGACTCATTTTGGCCCTGTTATGTCTCAGTCTTTATTCATTTAAGGACATGAGAAAAACATCGATAGTTATCTGTTTTGCCAACCTTAGCCTGGGCCTCTTCAAGACAATGCATTTTTTGCCCTTGCACAAAAACTATTACAAGAAATTAATCTTCAAGAATCATTCCTATAACAAAAAACTATTATAACAAACCTCTTTGAATTACAACTACAAAATACTCGCATTTAATTACGATGCCCATTGCAATATTTTCCTTAACGAATGAAAGTTTTTAGAAACCGGCGTTAAACCATAAATATTTATATCCTAGATTCATCATAACCTTTTTGTTTACTTGACGTAAACCCCTAGCACCGCGTGACACCTCAATCCCTGGTGTATTTCAGTCTGAAGGTGAACGAGTGGCGTGAAATGATGTCATCGTGTATACCAACTTTTTATTCCTTGCCATTATGTTTCATGACCTAAATCTCTAATGTTTACGATTGTCGGGTAAAACTATTGATTGTTTCAACTCACGCTAACTTTCGACCCTTTTTATAGGTTGGTGTTAGTCATGATGGTTATACCCTTAACTATGAGTCAGGGTCTCGTTAAATGCAAATATTACAGAAAATAATGTGAATAATTCTATGTACTGATTTATTACATTTATCAATTCGACTAGCTGTTGCTCGCGATTTTGTGTGAAATTTAAAAATAATAAAAACTTAGCCTATGTTACTCACTGATAACGAAACTTTTAATTGGTGAAAAAAATTCGAAATCCTTTTAGAGTCATCCAAATCCAATACATACAAAAATCTAAAAATCCAAATCTTTTCTCCTTATAATATTACTGTAGATTAATTGTATTGACGTATGGAATTAATATCTGATTCACATATATGCATATCTGTTATCACGATTATGAATAACTGGAAGATTTAATCAAATATCAAACACGGCTTAATAATTATAAATGAGGGATGAATCGCATGTGACAAGGAGAACAAATAATCTTATGAAATGAATGTTAGTTATGAACGTGACGGTACACCGGTAGAGGTAGACCTAGAATGAGATGGATGGATTGCATGACACATGATCCAAAAGGGAGTGATGACTGAGATGACGTATGACAGAGTTACGGGGAGGACAAAAACCTGTTGCGCCGTCCTTACGGGAGTAGGTTAAGAAGGATGATGTACGTAATTATCGGAAGTATTAATTACAAGAATCTTTTTATGTATAGCAAAAATATCGACGCTACTATTAAACGCAATGAAAGCTGTAGACTTTGCCTGAGTTGGCTTTACATGGTTGAGTTAAACGTCTTTTAGTAATAATCAATGACACTTAATCACACAATAGAACATAAGCTAGGTTCTTGGCACGCGATCGCTCTTTCGTTTGTTCTAAATAGGTTGGTATAAGGCACATCAAAGAATGTTATCGTAGCTTTTTCTATTAGAATAGGCTTTTAAAGTAGATGAAAGAGGTCAAACTTACCTAAACATTATTTGCCTCCTTCCGATTTCAAAACACAAACGAAAATGAAGTTAATCTTCTTTTTTAATAATACTAGATTTCGCCCGCGACTCCGTCAACAACAAATATGTAACCTATGAGTCCAGACTATCTTCCATATCTATGCCAAATTTCATCGAGATCTGTACAGCCGTTTAAGCTACAAACTCCAACAAACATCCAGCCATCTAAACTTTTGCATTTATTATATTAGTAATTTAGTTGAATGCCTTTAAGAATTATTCATAGTAGTTCAGTAGCATTGAAGGTGTTAACGGAACCCTAATATGTGCAAGGGGATATCCTTCGTGGTACATTGATTAGTATTCACGGTATACCCTCTAGCCGCATTATCAAAGAAGCCATGGCTCCAATTAAAGACACTGCACACCGATGACTTCATAGTAATGATTCATCGCGCAACGAAGGTAACAATGTCGGCGCCCACGGTAAAATTGTATGCTTAATTTTTAAACAGTACATAATTAATTTGTTTTTAAAAATTACCGACTATATCTATACCTAACATTATAAAGAGAAAAGAGTTTTGTATTTTTGTATGTATTGAAATAAATCAAAAACTACTGGCTCGATTTCAAATATTATTTTACCATTAAAAAGCTACGTTATCAGTGAGTAACATAAGCTAAATTTTTATTTAATTTCACGCGGGCGAAGTCGTGAGCAACAGCTAGTGATTTATAAAATTACGTTTGCATACTTTAAGAACGTCTAGAAAATGTTTTATTTATAATTCAACAATAACTGAATTATGATTTTTAGATATCAGAGTTATAATAATGTGTACAACAGCCGTAATGTAGTTTTGGCACGTATCCATTGCCTTGATTATTTGCAGAGCGATATAACTGTTGTAATCATATCTAAATGTGTTTAAATATGTTTATATTAGCTCATAGTTAACATTGGATGAAGTTTACATATATTTTGGTAGTTAATAATTAAAAGAGCCAAATAGTTAGCCCTTACTGTTCACAAGCTGGCAGTTATTTGCAACATGTCTATGGATGTCTATGGGCAGCGGTCGCGTCGCCATTTTGACGGTTTCAGGTTATCGCTTGCTCGTTTGCCACCTTATGTAATATAAAAAAAAGACATCTCTAAAATGTCGTAAGTAAGCTAACTGGTTAGTAATTAGTACTATTTTACTAATTATGCTAACCCATTGTGTTCTTATCTTTCAAGTTTAAAGCAAATTGATATAACCGTGAGATTCTAGTACTGAAAAACCTGTACAAAAAATTCTTTTATCCTTTGTCATCATCACAATATATTGTAATTTTTTTTTTGTCGTAAATACCTATGATCATAACTAACATTTTTTGCAATTTTTTTATTCTCTGATCTTATTTTAATAACAAATGTATTTCTTCAACAATTTGCGTAACGTTTTGATGAATTTAATTTACTACAAAAGCAAAAGTTATTCATTCCCTTGAGACACAGATTATATCTAATGTAAGAGGCAGTATTGAATTTGTCAAAGAATATATAA